AGCGGCGGGTTCGGCGGCGGCGGCGGTGCGAGGGGGCACGGCGGAGAGGTGGAGGCGGCGGCGGCGGCGGCGGCAGCGGTGGAAGACGGAGCGGAGGCTCGCAGGGGCGACCGGAAGGTGTACCGGCTGGTGCTGACAAAGGTAAGCATACGGCAGTAGGTCGGGGGGGGGAGTCGACGGAGAAGAACAGCAACGTTTTTATTGCTTCTCTTGGTACAACGTGGCTTCTGGGCCTCAGGCATAGCCTTGATGTGGGGAACTAATCCTCCCCCCTCCCGCCCATGAATGATGAGTGAAGCCGCGTGTTGAACGACCCGTCCTCTCGGGGCAAACGCCTTCCAACAACCCCACACAACATTCGGACAGGAAGGGGCGCGAGGCTCTGTCCTTGTTATATGTGGCTCTGTCGTTGGTACACGTTCGTACGTTCATTGGTCTCGGTCCCAAGACACACGGTGGGATGCTACCAACTTACGGGGGGGGGGGTACGAGGTACCCCGGGCTGCGCCCCCCCCCGCCCCCCACCGTTCGCGAAACACTTTTTCTGCCGCACGGACCTGTCATTCCTCATCCAAATGCGTGGATGTGTTCGTGGCAGATAGTCCTAACAAGGCGAGCTGTATGTTCTCTCTCTTACCAACTCTACATGACCCTCCCCCCCCACACCTTTCGGGACGGAACCCCCCCTGAAACCCTATATAGGTGAAGATGCAGAGGCTAGTGTCGAAGCCAGAGGAGTGCGGCGGGACTCGGCAGGACTGGCTCGACTGCCTGCGGGAGATGGTGGAGGTGAGGGTGTGTAAAGTATTGGACATGCGTGAAAAAGAGATGATGCCACTTCCTGGTGTGTGTCTGCCTTTGACAGCCTTGGTTGGGACTGTTAAGTTTTGGCACACAGGTTGTGCGCCAAAGAGTTCCGACGCTCCGCTGGATCCATTGCAGTGGGTAGGGAGGTACATCACTCTATCGTACAATCTGCCTTCGTCCCTCGAGTCGTCGAAGGCCGGGCGCTTTTCTACCTGTGTGACTCGTGGGAGATATTGGTTAACAACTTCACCGGGCAGGCGTGTCGAGCAAGCCACTCGTGCTATATCTGCCGGTAGGGCCGGGAGGGTGGGGGGAAAGGTGTATCGCGGACGGCGGCGGCGGCGGCGGCGGGGTGGTTGCTGACACATATCGCTCTCCACGTGGACTAAAATCATGTTCCTGTGAAAACTCCATCCGCCCAAACAAGGGGTTGGCTGTTGGTTGTACACACTCGCCACAACTATTATAATCCAAAATATTTCCTTGGGCTTTGTTTGTTGTTTCGTCGCCAGAGGCGTGGCGTATTCGACATGTATACACCTCGACCCTCGCCCAACAACCTCTCATCATACGTCACGCACCAATGAAATAAAAATCTATCCATCCGTCGATCGTGTTTCTTTCAGGCGCACAAGCTCTCCCGAACACCGCGTCCAACGCGGCCGCCGCCTCCGCCGTCAAGACTACGGGAGTACGAGGGCGACGGGAGAAGAGGCGGCGGCGAGCCGAGCTTTCCGCCGTTGTTTGCCGCCGCGAGGACGTCGGCGAGCCTCCCGGCGGGGAGCCCCGCGGTTTCCACCGCCGACGCGGGGGGTGGGGCTAGAGCGGCGACGACCCCGGCTGTTCCGCCGGCGCACACGCGCACCCGCTCGGGCAGCAGCAGCAGCAGCAGCAGCGTTAGCGGCAGCGGCAGCGCCTACAGCGGCGGGCCGCCTCACGACGAAGCCTTCCCTTGCTTGCCTTCCCAATACGTCGGCCAGCGGCCATCGCGGTCGTCTGCGACAGCAAGTTCGCTTGGGAATGGCCGACGGAGCGCCGCCGCCGGGGGCGGGGGCCGCGGCGGCGGAGGGGGATTGCCGCGGGGGCGAGAGTTGAGAAGGCTGGCGAAGAAGATCGGCGCGCTTTTGAGAGACTACTCGCCATCTTCGAGCCTGGAAGCGTTTGAGGTGGAGGAGGCTCGCCTCCGGCTATGGGTGAGGGACTGCGCACGGGGGCGGATGGTTCTTGTTGCCTTGTCGGGGTGTTCGCCGTGGCTGTAGTGTTAGCCAGAGCTTAGGGCTCTCTCGAAATTTCCAGCAGCATGCACGCCATCCATGCGTGCGTGTTCAAACCCTTTGCCTGTGCACGTCGCATCGCGTGATGGAGGAGCGTCACCGCTTTTTTTTTTCGCTTCGTGTGCGAAACGATGAACCCGGTGATGCTCACTTTCCGGAGAGCGAAAGGGAGAAGGAAAAGCTGAATGCGAGCCCGATGAGTGTGCTGTGCGCGATTCCCAGACCTAGGAGGCATGGAGAGGCGTGTGCGGCCGATACAGAGCTGCATTCTTCTGGCAACTCCATGCACCACTTGCTTTCACGTGCTGAGCATGTGGTGAAACCTCCCCCCCCCCCCCGCAAGGTACTGTTGTACTGCTGTGTAGTTGAAACCCCGTTTCGGCATCACCGTGCCCCCTGGAAAACATTTCCCTCCCCCC